GATCCTCACACAGCATTCCTGTGGTTCATAGATTTATTTTGCTTACTCTGTAACCATTTCTGGTAAGCCTGTATCTCAATAACTCCCCTCTCCTCAGCAACAACTCCAGAGCTTGTAGGCATGGTAGGATTTATTTTTCACATCTCCAGAATTGGAAACTTTGGTAAGGAGTTAACTCTAGCCCTTTCTCCACCTGGCCACACCACCACATCATCTCTGCATAAAAGTTCTTTCTAGGCTCCTATAGCATCTAGGTAGCTCAAAATCCCAGTGATAAAACAGATATCTAGCAGAGGAATGAGAAGTGAATTGTGCCATCTTGTAGATATCCCGAAACTTTATGTACAATTCTATTAGAATCCCACTCCCTTGGCTTTGGGAATCAAGCACCACTATCTGACATAGTTATAAGAGATAAGGAGAAGGGATAGGTTCTTTTTACAAACACCGTATTTCCTCAAATGTGAGTCCAGTCTCCTCCTTCCCAGTACTACATTACCCTTCTATTATTTCAAGGTAAGAGCAATCAAACCAGTTTACCCTCTTTTTGTCCTTAGGGCACATGAGTCCTAAACTAAAACTCTTGTATCCTAACTTAGTCTTGGAAAATTTTTAAATTTTGTTCTTAACAGGTTGTTATTTATCTCCAACTCCCCAGAAAGCTTTAAGGGACAAGAAAAGATCTCAATCAACACCTCATAACATTTTAGTAAAGATAACATCATTTCCAGGACAATTTTTACTTATTTTTAAAACATCACTTCATTATAACCAATTTCCTATATAGCATAACACCTGATGTGGAACAATATACAAATGTATATTTTCATCCAAGAAAATGTGGTGGTTTCAAACAAGACTTGTTCCAGATGGGTCAAAAAGACAAAAAGCAAAACATTTAGCCACTGAAAGAAATAAAACTCTAATTGCTAAACTTCAGTCAAAGGTTACGTTACAGTGGTTTCTCTACTTTATGGGGATTCTTTCTAGGTAATTACTGATTTTCATAAAAGTTTTTCCATATTGCTCTAAATACAGTCCCCTGAATGAAGAGCAATTCAGTTGTGGGTGCATTCAGTCAACAAATATTCACTAATCACCCACTTAGTACAAGGAACTTAGTCACTGAGTATGCAAAGTAGAAAAAGAGCGGATGTGTTGGATCCTCATGGATTTTAAAAATGAGTTGATCTAGCTAAGGAAATAATTCAACTATGCCTACTCTTCAAATTTTGTTAGAAACCATCTAATGACAAAAAATGAGTCAACTTTTATTGTTAACTTATTAGGCTCTGTGGTAAGTACTTGATATGTGTGATTTACTTCTTCTAACAGTGCATTTCACAAAAGAAGCACAGAAACCTTGGTAAGTAATTGACCCAAAGTCACACATCAAGTTAGTAGCAGACAGGACTTTTAGACAGCTAATGTTTCTAATCAGCATCCTTTCAGCCAATATCACTAATAGAGTTATCTGTATGAAGAGTAGTTTACTGTGAGACAGAATCCAGAAATCACTAACATCCCTTTAAAAGACAAGTACTGGGCCCGGCCAGGCGTGGCTCAGCTGTTGAGCGTCAACCTAGGATCCAGGCGATTGGGGTTCGATTCCCGGTCAGGGCACAGGCCCGGGTTGTGGGCTCGATCAACGGCTCTCTCATCATTGATGTTTCTATCTTTCTCTCTCCCTCTCCTTTCCTCTCTCTGAAATCAATAAAGATATATTTAAAAAAAAAAAAAAAAGACAAGTATTGGGTGTGATTTTGTAATTTGAGCTTTTGGAGCTATATATTAACATATCTATTGCAAACACCAAGAAGGACTCCTCGCGGTTAACCAGGTCCAAACACATAATCAGAGTCGAGCAGTCATTGTTCACAGGGGCCTCTCAGGCACACTGTGTATCAAGGAAAGCTGCAGATTGAGCTGCCAAGCCTCCTGCATTGTGTCCCTCTAGGCTACACAACCCTTAAAAAGGAGCTCCTGGAATCATATTTTGACCAATGGACTGAGACCTGCCCCACCCAATCAGAGCTATGCAGCCATGCCTTCATTTGCATCTTTACCAACCAAGGAGAACAGCATCATAATGACCAATCAGGACAGTGCTATTTGACTCAATCGAATTGTGCAAATTTGGATTTCTCATTTGCATATAAATGGACCAATCAGGGATCAGGGCATTCACTATTTATATGTGAGTAGACCTCCCTTTTGTCTTGGAGGAGCATACTTTCGGTCTCCACTTTAGGCTGCATTGGACTTATTTGTAAACTGTTCACCCGAATGAAGCCTCGCCATTTACCACAGCCCAGATTGGGGGTTCATGTTGGCATTGGATTGGTGGCAAAGACCTTTTGTTGACACCATATATCCCTAAAAGCATGTGTGTGTGTGTGTGTGTGTGTGTGTGTGTGTGTGTATGTTTGTACGCATACATACACATATATAAAACTTTCTGTATCTCCAAAATCTCAAACTATATATGCACTAGGCACATACTCTTCTTTTTTTCAATGTCCCAGCTAGTTTAGCGGGTAGGAAATTACATAGGAGTTTGGAGCCAAACATAGAGTCAGTAAGCATTTTTCTGGCCTGTCTTGCCTCAGTGCATACAACTCTTTTGGTTGCTTTATCACAAGAAACACCTACTAAATATTCTTTTATAATAGTACCACTTTTCTAAAGATGTCTCTGTTTTCTAGTTGTGATAATTTTTTTTTTTTTTTAGTTATTTCAAGTTGGAGAAAGGAACATTTACACTCAAGGTGAGTTTCGGTCTTAAGTTTAGTTGATTCGCTTACCCCCTGCTTATTTCTAATATGTTTTTGAAACATTCACATCAAAAGGCATAAGGCTTTGGGACTGACTTCTGCATATTATGTGCTTAATCTCTGAGATCATTCTATGGAGATATTTGTAGGGGTGGTTTGGAAGGAAAAGCAGGAAATAAAAAGGCTTTTCCGCAAAGACTCTGGTATTTAAAATCACATAAATTTACACAAAATGGCCGAGGTCCAACAACTGGACTTCTCCCTAAAGATTTACTTGACAGATCATTTTGAAAACACCAGCAGCGTTCAGGAAGGCGCCACCTTCTTGCAAAATGAAATTTTGAAGAAAGCTACTATATTTCAAAGGTGATTTGATAGTGTGTGGAGCCAAGAGAAAATATTTTCTGTGTGCTACAGGTGAACATAATCAAACAATGAGGCTTTTTCATTCTGCAGGATGAAGCATATCTTTCAAAAATGAAACCTCATAATTTTTTACTTTTTGAGGCATGCCGACTTTTTAAAAAAGGAAATGAGATTATTGGGAAGGCTACATACAAATCATTCTAACTCCTTGCCTCTCTTTCTGACAAGTCCTCTGCTCCCTCCCCACCCTAGTCCCCATTCTAAATTTCCTAGAAGGGTATGAATTCAGGGGACAAGGTAGGAAATGGTGGCTGTACTTGTGCAGGGTGTGCGTATGTGTGGGTTGGGGGAGGGGGGGAGGTGGCCAGCAAGAAGAGGCCAGAAATCAGAAAACGCCAAAATCAAAGCCAGGGGCTGGAATGGGAGGGTTGGAGGGTGTTGCGGAGCCTCCTAGGTAAACAGAGAAGGGCAAATTCCAACCCCAGGAAGGTGATGCCACTTGTGGGCCCTCAGATTGGCTAGGACAGAGATGAGTGAGAGGGCGGTGCACGCGGGGCCCAGGAGCGCAAACTGGCGGAGGGGGTTGTGTGTGCGTGTGCACGCGGCGGGGGAGGGGGCCCGCGCTGCTGCTGCACTGGCTGGGGGAGTTGGGGGGCGAGCTCCTTGGTGACGCGAGGCCTTCACGTGACCAGGAGCTGCAGAGGGACGCAGCCTTCGGTACAGTCGTCACTCTGGTCTGGGTACCAGCTCCCCGCTGCCCTGCGCACGGCGGGCTGGCATCGGGCCCAGGGAAAGCGGAGCAGGTAAGAAGGGCCCGAGGCCCTCGAGGCGGCCAGGGCGACAGCCGCCGCCCCCAACCCGGAGGCCGGCGCCGGGGATGGGTGCAGCGGTCCCCGCCGGCTTTCTCCACTCGGG